CCTTCCTTCTAGGGCCTGACCCCTCCCATTCCCAGGGCCCCCTTGGCAGGGCCCTTGGGCCCAGGCGCCTAACAAGGGGCTGGTTCCAGCCAGGGTTTCACACAACTCTTCCTCAGGTCCCTGGGGGATGCTTTGGTGTGTGATTCAGATGCGTAAGCACTGAGGTTGCCCAGCCTCGTGGACGTGCGTTTTCTCTGTGCTGAGGGCATCCCCACACCTGGCATCCTACCCTCAGAACCGACAGGACAGGAGGCTGTTGACTGTAATCCCCCTCTAGCTGCAGGGAACACCACAGTTTAGCACTGTGGCTGCTCTCACACTCCCCAGCCCTCCTCCATTCAGGCTCTTCTTCCAGTGCTTTGAGCTGCCATCCCTAAGCTCCTGGAACCTCCAGGTCCAGAAAAAATGGCAGAGTGTGGGGGCTGGAGAGGCTCTGACTGCTCTTGTGGAAACCTGGATTCAGTTCCCAGCTTCCACATGGCACCTAATGACTGTCCATCCAGGGGATCTGACACCTTCTTCCGACCTCTGTGGACATTGCACACGTGCAGTGCATTTACATACATGCAGGCAAAACACCCACACATAAAATAAAAATAAATAAAAAAGGCTAACGACCATCGGAATTCCAGTTCCAGGGGTGGAATCCAATGTTTCTTCTCACCTCCACAGGCATTGCACAGCACAGGTGCACTTACACACATGCAGGCAATACACGCATACACATAAAAATAATAGATAAAATTTAAATAAATAAAACAGAGTTCTTCCCTCTTTTTTTTTAAATTTTATGTGTATGAGTGTATTACCTGCATGTAGGTAAGTGCACCTGGGTCGTGCAATGTCCAAGGAGGTCAGAAGAGGCTGTCGGATCCCCTGGGACTGGAGTTACAGACAGTTGTTAGCTGCCATGTGGGTGCTGGGATTCAAACCTGGGTCTTCTGCAAGAACAACCAGTGTTCTTAACCTCTGAGCCATCTCTCCAACCCGAGTTTTTCCCTCTTTTAAAGGACTAGGACTCCACTTCATGTACCCAGCACAGCCCCATTCCCCTATCTGTAAGCTCAGTTAATTCTGCTGTTAGCTGCTGGCATTGCTCCCAAACAGACACCCAGGAGCAGGATCCTAACCCAGGGTTAGGGTTAGCACAGTGGTTCCCCCATGCTGTTTTGGACAATGATTATGACTGTGTACACGCCCACTAAGTGTCCACGAGCAAGTACAGGCATTTCTCTGTGTCCTCGTGGTACCTGTCACTCTCTGTGTTTTGCTGGTGTCCATTCTAACTATGGCCAGGGAGTAGCTGGCTGTGGTTTCACGTTTTGCATTGTGTTTATTTATCTCCTGTTCTTGTCACCGTGGCTGTGGTTTTTGTCACTGTGGTGGAAAGTGAGGCTGATTTGCCTGTTGCTCATTTGTAAGTTTCCTTCTGAGAAATCTCTTCACGTCGTCATTTGCCTGTTTGGTTTAATTTTGGTTTGCTTAGATTTGGTTTTCATTTGTGGGACAAGCTCACACACCATAGCAGAGGTTGGCCCCAAACTCACGGTGATCCTCCTGCCTCAGCCTTGCAAGTGCTGGGATGACAGGCATGAATTCTCTCTCTCTCTCTCACTCTCTCTCTCTCTCTCCTCTCTTGTTTCTCTTTCTCTTAAATACAGGGTTTCATGTAGCCCAGGCTGGCCTCAAATTCACTATATAGCTAAGGATGACCCTGAAGTCCTGATCCTCCACTTCTGAGTGCTGGATCATAGGTCTGTGCATGGTTGTACAGTCCTGGGAATGGAACCCAAGCCTCCTTCACACAAGGCAGGCTCTCCGCAAACTGAGCTACATTCTTAACCCACCGTTTAGCTATTTTTTTAATTTAATTTTTTTGTTTTTTTGAGACAGCACGGTGTCCCTCCTCCCTCAGCCTTGCAAGTGCTGTCATGACCGGCATGAATCCTCTCTCTCTCTCTCTCTCTCTCTCTCTCTCTCTCACTCTCTCTCTCTCTCTCCTCTCTTGTTTCTCTTTCTCTTAAATACAGGGTTTCATGTAGCCCAGGCTGGCCTCAAATTCACTATATAGCTAAGGATGACCCTGAAGTCCTGATCCTCCACTTCTGAGTGCTGGATCATAGGTCTGTGCATGGTTGTACAGTCCTGGGAATGGAACCCAAGCCTCCTTCACACAAGGCAGGCTCTCCGCAAACTGAGCTACATTCTTAACCCACCGTTTAGCTATTTTTTTAATTTAATTTTTTTGTTTTTTTGAGACAGGGTCACCCTGTAGCCCCAGCTGGCCTGGAACTCGCTACATAGACCAGGCTGGCCTTGAACGCACAGAGATCTGCCTGCCTCTGCCTCCCGAGTGCTGGGATCAAAGGCGTGCGCCACCACGCCCAGCCTTTTAAATTTATTTTTCATGTGTATGTTTTACCTGTATGTGTGTAAGTGCACCCATGTTGTGCAGTGCCTGCAAAAGCCAGAAGAGGGTGTCGGATCCCCTGGAACTGCAGTTACAGATGGTTGTTAGCCACCATGTGGGTGCTGGGAATTGAACCTGGGTTCTCTGCAAGAGCAGCCAGTGCTTTGAACCACTGAGCCGTCTCTCCAGCCCCTCATTTGCCTATTTTTAATCAGTTTTCCTGTTCCTCCTGTTCTGTCTGCCATCTCTTCTCACTCTTGACTGATTCTTTTGCTGTACGAAAGCTCTTTATTTGACGTTGACCACCACATGTGATTTTTTGCTTTTACAGTCTCATCGCTCAGAAGATCTTTGTGCAGACAAGTGTCCAGGCTGGTCTTTGAATCATTCTCCTTCTTGTCCTGCCCTTTCTCCTCAGGGGGAACTACATGTCCCAGAATCCTTTGAGTCCCCAGTTCCTGGTGGGCTTTGCTTTGAATCCTAGCCTAAAGTAGGAGGAAGAGGCACTGGGCCTCTCCCTCTCCCTCTGTCCCGGGGCAACATTGGCAGTGGTCACCTCCTCACAGCTCTGACTCCCACCCAGAAACCCCCACCATGAGTCTTGTTTCTTTGGGGGGGGGGTATTTCCTTATGGGGTGTTTTATTTCTATCTTGGTATCCCCGCTCTCAGATAAGCCATTTGTGGCCGGTGAGCCTGGGAAATCTTCACTGGCCTGCAGGTGACTGTGAGGTTCTGAAGATGTTCATATTTCATGGACAGTTCCTGCAGTAGTGCCTTGCACGTAGGGGATCGAGGATTTCAAGCTCTGTTGATCTGACCAGCCCTCTGTCTCTGATGACTTTTCTTGCCAGGAATGTTCGTGGCAAACATTCAGCCATGACATCTCTGTTTGCAAGTTGTGCGCTCACCCGTCCATCCTGGAACAGTGTAGGGAACCTGGATGGCCAAGCACCAGCTGGGTGCTGGAGACAGGGGAGCGAGACCCTCTCTCTCCCCCAGGTACCTAGAAAGGCCACGTATGTGGACAGGGATTGTTCTGGAAGGTGGCAGAGACAGCAGCAACATCTCAGGTGCAGTTTGAGGACACACTTGTATCAGTCTGTTTTCATATAGTAACAGAACACCTGAAACTGGTAACTTTATAAAGCAAAGAGGTTCTGAAGGTTCAAGGTCAAGAACCACCTCTGAGGATGGTCTTGTTGCTGGCAGCATCCTGGAATGGTTCAGGACCTCACTTCGCAGGAGTGAGGAGTGAGCCATAGATACTCATGGGGTCCATCCTGGGGACCTGTGTGATGTCATCACCTCCCATAGTCCCCGCCCTGGAACACCACCATTGGGGGTCTACCCCCTTCATAGCTCAAGTAGCAATTAAATTCCAATATTGAATCTTGGGGGACACTCCAGCCACGTCTATATGACAGCATCCTATGAGGGGTCACTAGTATCTTATTGGAGGAGTCTGCGATTTGAACTCGGTCTCTTAGGAAGACAACACACAGCAGGGTGTGGTGGTGCACACCTGAAATCCCAGCCCTTGGAAGTAGAGACAGGAGGGTCAGAGGTTCGGGGCAGCCTTGGTTACTGTTCTAGTTTCTTTTCCATTGCTGTGATAAACACCCTGACCAGAAGCGACTTAGGAGAGGAAAGGGTTTATCTGGCTCACAGTTCCAGATCACAGTCTATCACTGAGGGGAAAGCGAGACAGAAATTCAAGAGCTAGCCTCATCATAGCCACAGTCGAGAGGGAAATGTGCCCATGCTGCCTGCTGGCTGCTGTGCTCACCAGCTTTCTTCATTATTTTACAGTTCAAGGTCTGACAGCACACATTCACCCCACCTCAATAAACAGTCAAGACAGCCCCTCACAAACATGCCCCCAGGCCACTCTAATCCAGACATTCCCTCAATTGATACCCCCTTCCTAGATAATTCCAGGTTGTGGCAAATTGACATTTAAAACTTACCAGCACAGCTTTGTAACTGTTATATAAGACCCTGTCTCTAAATAAATGAATAATTGGTGGTACCCGCCTTTAATCCCAGCACCCAGGAGGCAGAGGCGGCTAGATCTCTGTGAGATCAAGGCCAGCCTGGTCTACATAGGGTGTTCCAAGCCAGGCCAATTGGGGCTACGGAAATAAATAAAAATAAAAGGAACACGATGCGGGACACAACATTATACAAGTCAGCGGGACACAACATTATACAAGTCAGCAGGAGGGTACCCTGAGCACCTACAGGGTTTGATGCTGGGCCCGCAAGCTCCTAGCCACATTCTGTCGTTCCGAACCCAAGACCACACATACACATCTGTCCTCCTGGGCTAGATGGAGGGCTAGCCTGCCTGTCCCTCCCTGCCTGGCTGAGCTAGCTTGGCCAGGGCTTGCCAGGCCTGTTTCTTCATCTGTGCTATAGAAGAGTCTCTGCTTTGCAGGGTCTGTGGGAGGGCTGAACCCAGCACTCGTGTGAAGTTCTTGGCCCCCGCCTCAGCCAATGGTGGGGAAGAGAAGGGTGCCGGCCACGTGCGGGCTGCGCTGTCCTGGCCTCCGACCCCTGACCTCTCTCCCCTCCTCCCCTGCCCCGCAGCTGCCACGTTCATGGAACACTGGAAGAGGAAACAGATGCGGCTCAACTATCGATGGGACCTCACCGGCTTCGAGGAGGAGGAGGTGAGTGGCCCTGCCCTGCCCTGTCCACCCCAGGGTCCCCTCTGCCTCCCCCTCTGGCTCACGTGGACCCCCTAACCCCCTCCGGTCTCAGGCGTGGCTGCTGCGGCTCCTTCACTCACCACCGTGGTATTTGATGCCCCAGGTTGCCAGGGCGACTGTTTTCCATCTTTCTGTGTTTTCAGTCTTACCGCTCCATGGACACGCCGCCCATCAGTGTGGGCTCAGATTCTGGCCAGGACTCCCCTTGCTGACATCACCATGTCTGGGGCTGCCTGGTGTGGGGAGGCAGTTGCCTGTGCCCATGGGTGCCTGCCTGTCCCGACTGGCTCTCTGCCTGCAGAACTGAGGGCAGACCCCCTGATAACAGGACCCAGTACCCAACGTGGCCAGGTTCCAAAGAGGGCGTGGTCTGGAGTCAGGTCAGGGAGAACAAGCTGTACACTACTACATCGGGCTTACGCAGCCCTGAAGCTTGAACCCAGGGCCTTCAGCATGCTGGGCAATTCCTCTACATCTAGCTACAATGCTGGCCTCACACCTAAACACATACTCACTTTTTAAAAAGTGAGGCCCCCTGGGGACTGGGGAGATGACTCAGCAGATGAGAGCTTCAGGTTCCCTGGAACTGGAATTACAGGTGGTTATGAACCACCGTGTGGGTGCTGGGAACTGAACCCTGTCCTCTGCAAGAGCAGCCATTTCTCTTAACCACCGAGCCATCTCTCCAGCCCCCTCTGAGCACTTTTTAAGCCCACACAGCCCATGCCTTCCCAAGCCCCTGTCTGTCAATCACCCTTGGTCCAGGTTTCTTTCAGAGAGGCAGCTCCATGCTAACCGTGCTGTCCCCACACACAGTTCACTGGGAGCAGCAGAGTCATGGTTGCAAGCTGGGCCTCTGGGGCCAGACACTGCCTGACTTTCCTCTGATCTGAAACCACCTTTGCTGTATGACCTGGGACCAGTTGGTTAACATCTCTGACCATGTCTTCATTTGTCCCACACTGGCTGAAGAACAGGCCTCACTTGACAGGGCTGGGAAGGTCCCAGCGGGTCATAACTGTGCCCTAAGGACAATCACTCAGCTAGTCATGGCTGGGTCACCGCCACCCACCCATATCACAGTGTCCACCCTCTTCAGTGATGAGTCTCAGCCCATTTCACACATGACCGATACTGACCTCAGGGAGCCCTGGGCAGGCCCCATGACCCCAGTGTGGCTTCTTTGATGAACAATTCAACGTGTTTCAACGTGAACAATTCGACACAAAGGACAGTGGCTGAGTCTTGCTGTCACAGCCAGCTTACAAAGTGCTTGCGTCGCACCCTTGTAGCTGACAGAGCTGAAGGGGACAGCCTTGCCCCTTCATCCCAACCCTCCCCCCCGACCTCCTGATCCTGAGAACTAGGGGCCCTCCTTGGGCCACTGGGTACAAGACCCCAAGGGGCCTGCATGAGTCCCCCAGGGTAAGTCACCAGTGTCCGGCGGCTGGCCAGGGTCCTGGGGGAGCAGATAAACTAGGGTGAAGGGGGCTGCCTCCCCCACGGTCAGAACCCCTGGGCTTTGTTCTGTGTGCTTCCGCACTGAGTCTGAGAACTCACAAATACCCAGCCTATGGGGGTCACCCTAACAGACTCCAGCCCCGCCCCACCCACCCTGTCAAGCCTGTCCTGCTTGACTCTGCTGTCACCCGGGTCTGCGGATAACCAGCAGTAACTGACTCTCTTTTTTTGTCTTTACTTCCCGATTCCCTGCAGGAAGCCGTCAAGGTTTGGATTATTTTTGGTCACTCTGCCTTCCTGTAGCCTGCTCCAGGGAGAGGGACCTTCAGCACACCTGCTCCGTCTTTCTAGCTGGCAGCTCTCACCTGGGCTCTGCTTTCCTCCGTCTTGCCTAACCTGCTTTTTACTTCTAGCCCCTCTGCTGACCTGCTCTGGGCTCCCCAAGGCCTGGCACCTCCAGTCTGCCTATGCTTACTGCCTCCGATGGCTGCCTCTCACTGCATCTCTTTCTACCCCAACCCCGCCCATGGCTACTCCACAGAATGTTCTGGAGGACCAGTTCACAGCTGAGTATTCACTGCAGCCTGGCACAGCCAGGTATCCCTGCAGGACACAGCGGCCAGACCCTGTGGCCACTCCATTGGGCTGGGGGGGTCCCAAGAAGAGGTCAAGAGCTGAGATTCAGGTCAAATTTAGGGAGTTTGACGTCGGAAGTGTAACAGCCAGCTGTGAACTGGCCCCCAGGGTCCCCCGAGGCAAATACACGGACTGACAGCCAGCCTTGCGGACTCTCGAGGACAGTTGCAAGCTCATCACTAACAAAGCCCCACCCTTACGTGCTGTCTTTCTCAGGAACATCCCAGAGCAGAGTATGAAGCCAGAGTCCTGGAGAAATCACTGAAGAAAGAGTCCAGAAACAAAGAGGTATGGACTCTGTGTGTGCGTCACACAGTGAAATGCTGTGTCTGCAGTGTGACCTGGCGTTGGCAAACACTGTGTGTCTGAGGTGTGACCTGGCGTTGGCAAACACTGTGTGTCTGAGGTGTGACCAGGAGTTGGCAAACACTGTGTGTCTGAGGTGTGAGCAGGGCTCAGCAAACACTGTACTCATCAGGTGTGAGCAGGGCTCAGCAAACACTGTGTGCTCTCAGTGGAGACCAGGCCTTGGCCCGAAGGTATTCCACTCTGCCATTGTAGCCTGAACACTGTCATTAACAACGGGTCAACAAATACACTTGACTGCGTTCCAATAAAATTTTATTTATAAAAACAGGCCAGGGGCCAGATTTGATCAGAGAGCCAGGGTTAGTCCAGTGCTGCTCCAGACTGTCCTCCTGATGTATTCTGAGAGTGACCCCAACTTCAACAAGCATTTCAGCCCTAGAATCTGGTGGCTGGCAAAGTTTAGCTCCCCACCCCCAACTCCCCGAAGGTTCTGCGTTGAACAGTAAGTCAGGAAGCATTTGCAGACCAGAGTCCCTGAGCAGAGAGCTGACGGACGAGGGAGAAGACGCGGCTGCCGCAACACACTTCGAGCCTCTGCCTTTCTGTGTTAAGTCATCCTCGGGCCTCCTATGCAGATTGGTGGCTTGTCTGCTCCCTATGGCCTCACACACTTCCAGGGCCCCATAGTGACTGAGGTTTTCACATCAGCTGGGCCAGGCCAGGAGCCACAGGTCTGTGACCAAAGCCGAGAAGGCTGAGTGGACTACAGAGTTGGCTGAACTGATCAGGACAAACCTCGGGCTCCTCTTACCTTGTCATTAAGCCCTCATGCACAGAGCTCACAGTGCACAGTGGCCTGAGGGTCACAGTCTCACAACTGCATGGAGGTAGTTGTGCAGTGGAGACTGTGGGCAGCTCTAGAACATATAGCCCAGGCTTTCTGCAGCAAGAAAGGAGGTATGTCCCAGAGCACCCCAAAGGGACTGAGCAGAACTGAAGGGTGTGAAGAAAGTAACCACAGCCAGGTATAGTGGCACACTACTTTAATCCCAGCACTCAGGAAGCAGAGGCAAACAGAGCGCTGTGAGTTCGAGGCTAGCTTGGTCTACACTAGGAGCTCTGAGCCATCCAGGGCTACAGAGTGAGACGTTGTCTCCCCTAAAACATACTCACATGGGCAAGCAGGTTACTGCCAGGGTGGTACCCAGCATTCTGACACTGATATTTGATGTCGTCACTTGTGAAATAGAGGCAACCATGCAGTCAAGTTACAAAAAAATTGCAAAAAACTTGGGGCTGGAGAGATGGCTCAGCAGTTAAGAGCACTGGCTGTTCTTTCAGAAGACCTGGGTTCAAATTCCAGCATCCACATGGCAGCTAACAACTGTCTGTAACTCCAGTTCTAGGGGATCTGACAGCCTCTTCTGACCTCCACAGGCATTGCATGACGTGAGTGTACTTACATACATGTATGCAATACATGCATACACATGAAATAAAAATAAAGCAAAATAAAACCAAAGAACAAAAAATTGCAAAAAAAGATTTCATAAGGTTTTAAGTAAGTTTACAATTTTATGTGGGGTCACATTCATAGCTGTGGTAGCCCAGGGGTTCAACTTTTCTTTTATTATTTTTTTTATGTGTGTGCATGTATCACCAGCACGTAGGGGTGTCAGATCCCCTGGAACTGGAGTTACAGATGGTTGTCAGCTGCCATGTGGGTGCTGGGATTCGAACCCAGGTCCTCTGCAAGAGCAGCCAGTGCTCTTAACTGCTGAGCCATCTCTCCAGGGTTCAATTTATGTGTATGAGTGTATTGCCCGCATGTATGTGAGTGTTCTGTGTCATACAATGCTGCAGAGATCAGAAGAGGGGATCAGATTCCCCTGGAAATGAAGTTAAGGATGGTTTGTAGCCGCCATGTGGGTGCTGGGAATCGAACCCAGGTCCTCTGCAAGAGCAGTCAGTGCTCTTAACCGCTGAGCCATCTCTCCAGCCCCGAACATGTTTTTTTTATTACATTTATGTGTGTGTATGCAAAGGCACATGCAAGTGTAGAGATCAGAGGACAACTTGCAGGAGTCGGTGCTTTCCACCATGTGAGTGCCAGGGATGGAACTCAGATTATCAGCCTTGACGGCAAGCGCCTGTACCTGAGCAGTCTTGCTGGCCCGTGTTTTTAAGTCAAGTTCTTAGGCTGGCCTCCAGATAACTGTGTAGCCAAGGGTGAGCTTGAACTTTGGACTTTCCTGCCTCCTGAGTGCTGGGATGATGGGCATGAGTTAGCATGACGTATTTGTTTGGTGTGGGGGACTTGTTCTACCAACGGCGCGAGAGCCTTAGCCCCACAGAGCTAGTTCGTTAAATCCGATCTGCCGGCGATCAGGACACCAGCGATCAGCACACCAGCCTGGGGTCCTTCGTGTTGTTTCCAGTCCTCCAAACCCTCGAAATCACAGCCACATCTGAGGTAGTGCTGAGAACGCCTGTAGGGAGGGCACACTGGAGTCTCTGTTCTGGAAACTTCCAGCACCCCTTTCCCTGACCTTGAACTGGGTCTCTGTCATGGGTGAACTTGTCTAAAATGCCCAGAACCAGAGTCAGCCTTGGCAGCCGGCCTCATATACAGGGCAAGTGGGTACCTGGGCCCACATCCCACCTAAGATCACGGTGCCCCGTCCCGCTTTACCACCCAGTGCTCTCTTTCCCCACCCACCCTCAGAAGCTCCGGAATGTTCCAGATGAACCGACCAACAAATGGAAGCAGAGGGTTAGGACAGCCATGGCGGGGGTGAAATTGGTACTTTTTTATTTCGGGGCAATGCAAGCCTTGACCGTTTGCTGGCCGTCCCGGTCACCGTGTCTGTCCCCAGCCACCCCTGTGGTGTGTTCTCGGAACATTCCTGTCCGTGTCCCTTCACGTGTCCCTTCACCACCTCCCGCCCTCCACGGCAGTGTGTTGCGATGTCACTGCATGGCTGTCAGGGACACAGGGACCAGCTGTGGCTTTGTGGGGAGATGCGCTTGACATGGGTGTCTTCAAAGCTTCTCGTCTTCCAGTACCATGCATGTGGTCACCGCTGGAACTCGTGGCCTACCGTGTGATATCCGTGTCAGCATGCTGGGACTCGAGTGTGCGAGTTCCTCTGTGAAAGCCCTCCCCCGCTCCCTTAAAGCCAGCCAGGCCAGCCAGCCCCACCCCCAAGAGCCTTTGCAAACCCATTGTCCCCAGTCAAAGTGGCTCTGCAGCAGGGCAGCGTTCTAACCTGGGGCGCCAGCTGTTTGTGCCCCACTCGGCAACAAGAAAATCGCTATTATGGTCTGGGTGGCAAATGGCCCGACAGCTTCGGATCTGTAGCCCTCGAAGGGAGACTGCAGAGAGAGAAGTGGATGTCGGATGCGGCAGCTCCCCACGTGGGCCGGGCCATCCTGAGGACGCGGTTGGCAGCACCACGCCCCTGCAGGCACAGAGGACATGCGACCCTCAAGGACACTCAGCCCTCTGTCACCCTGTGGCCCTGTTTCTTGGGGGACCGGGCCCCACGTACTTCCCACACACCTGGTCTTTGTGTTTGCTCAGCACCTTCTAGAGGTTTCTCTGAGTGCTCCCACAGAGTTGTCTCGTGTGCACCCCTGTCCACCCACCAGGGTGGTTACCGAAGAGTAACCAGACGCCTTTGTGTTGCAGACAGACAAGGTGAGGCTGACCTGGAGGGACCGCTTCCCAGCTTACTTCACTAACCTGGTCTCCATCATCTTCATGGTAAGTTCCAGAAGGCGACGTGGGGAGGAAATCAGAGGTGCCCACAGGAGACGATGGGTGCTTGTTACAGAACATGGTAGCCTTGCTTCCCCTAAGGTAGAATGGGCTAGTGTTCGAGGTGGCCCCAGGGGGTACATGAGCTGACTCAGGTGACACGCAGCTTTCCCTGAGAGTGAAGACTTGTTCAAACTGGGATCTCATCTGGATCGTGATGGGTGCTTGTTACAGAACATGGTAGCCTTGCTTCCCCTAAGGTAGAACGGGCTAGTGTTCGAGGTGGCCCCAGGGGGTACATGAGCTGACTCAGGTGACGGCAGCTTTCCCTGAGAGTGAAGACTTGTTCAAACTGGGATCTCATCTGGATCACTTAACACCAAACCTTATTAACGAGGTGCTGGAGAGATGATTCAGCAGTTAAGAGCATACACTGCCCTTCCCAAGGACCCAAGTTCAGACCACATCAGACAGCTCGCAATTGCTTGTAACTTCAGCTCTAGGGGATCTAACACCCTCTTCTGGCCTCCATGGACACTGCACTCACGTACACATACCCCTCCACACACACAAAATTAATAAATCTTTCTTTAAAAAAGAAACCGTTAAAGAATATCAGAAAGAGATGTGGCCTCTGCACACCTGCAATCTCAGAACTCAGGAAGCCAAGGCAGGAGAATCGCCATAAGTATCAGGCCAGTCCGAGCTACATAGTGAGACTGTCTCAATGGGGGAGGTGGGAGCAGGTGTGGTGGTTCACATCGCCAAGCCCAGCACTTGGGAGATTGAGATAGTGGGATTACTATTACGTTCAAGGCTAGCCTAAGTTATATAGTGAGGCTGTATCTGAAAATGAAACAAAATCCAAGAAAAGGGGGGGGGCTGCTAGCACAGGACAGGGACTCTTGGCTAACTCTAGTGGCCCAACAAACACCCCAAGGCTCTGAGGAGACTCCTGCCTCCTTGGCCCCAGCAGGCCTCTGCCTCAAACCACCTGTGCATTCCTAGTCCCTCCCACAGTCAGGCTACCCGTCAACCCACTTTATCTGCCCCAGAAGGTTTTAATGAGAGCCTGACACAGCCACCCAGTCCCTTGGTCCGATCCCTCATTAACCTCCTGCCCCGAGGGTCTCGCAGGGACAGCCCCATTCACTTCCCAGCTAACCAGGCCTGATACCACTCCAATGCTGAGAAGGAAACTGAGGCCTGCTTTGCCTCCCTTTAGGAAGCCAGCCAGAAGGGGTAGAGCCAGGAGCCCATTTTCCCATCTGCCCCTGGAGCCCCTCTTTCCTCACAAGCTGGACAGACAGGTGGGAGCCAGGCTAGGTTTCCAGACTGAGTGGGGGTGCCGTGGAAAGCAGCCTAGGGCTCAGCTTCCCCACACACAGCGGGAGGAGAAAGGCCTCCTCGCTCCGTTTTCCACTGCTCCACTCAGTGGGGATCAGAAAGTCACAGGAAAACAAGTCTCATTTCACTTTGTTTTGGTTTGAAATGGGTTGTTGCTGTTGCCCAGGCTGTCCCAAGCTCCTGGACCCTGGCCTCTCAAGTAGCTGGGACTACAAGAACACACTTGGCCTTGTTTTGAGGGTGACATATCCCCTCTGGTGCTGGGACATAACCAAAGACTGACATGGATCCAGATCTTACCCAGTGGAGGGGAGAGTTTAGGAAAAAGAGCCTCAGAGCCAGACATGCTGGAGAGCGCCTTTGATCCCAGCACTCAGGAGGCAGAGGCAGACAGATCTCTGTGAGATTGAGACCAGCCTGGTCTGCATAGAAAGTTCCAGGCCAGCTGGGGCTGCAAAGTGAGACCCTGTCTCAAAAAAAAGCTAAGAGGTAGGGGCAGGCTCAGGCAGCCCCAAGTCCAGTGGTTCCTACCAGAAGGCCAGTGAGGGGTAAGAAAGTACATGGTGCCCTAGGGCCTAAGGTGGCCAGAGACACCGGCTCCTCAGACCTGTTTGCCATTCTCCTGTGTGTGTGTGTGTGTTTTTGTGTGTGTGTGTATGTGTGTGTACGTGTGTGTGTGCGAGTGTGTGCGTGTACGTGTGTGTGCATGTGTGTACGTGTATGTGCGTGTATGTGTGTACATGTGTGCATGTATGTGTGTATGTGTGTATACGTGTGTACGTGTATGTGTGTGTGTGTGTATGTGTGTATGTGTGTGTGTGTGTACGTGTGTGCATGTATGTGTGTATGTGTGTATACGTGTGTACGTGTATGTGTGTGTGTGTGTATGTGTGTATGTGTGTGTGTGTGTACGTGTGTGCATGTATGTGTGTATGTGTGTATACGTGTGTACGTGTATGTGTGTGTGTGTGTATGTGTGTATGTGTGTGTGTGTGTACGTGTGTGCATGTATGTGTGTATGTGTGTATACGTGTGTACGTGTATGTGTGTATGTGTGTGTGTGTGTGTGTGTGTGTGTGTGTACG